TTTTTTTTTTTGTTTTGGAAGAAGAACAAAAGAGGAAAGAAGCGAAATTAAAAAAAATGTTTTCAAAGGCACATTTTACAACTACATAAATGGTACTTAAATAGCAAAATTATTATACAATATAAATACTAAACCAATAGTAATAGCTGGCAATACTCGTTATGTACATAGACTATAATACTAGTTGTTGGCAACTCTGGCGATTAAGAATATAACTCTCAAAGCGTTTGAAACTAGGTTCAAAACGTTTTAATATACATATTTTTAACTGTTAAAGCTATCCTAATCTCAATAGCCTCCAAAAAGTGGAGAAGCCAGTAGCTAAGCGCGCGTATTTTGAAAACTTGATTCAGATTTTAGCTTATGAAGCACCAAGCAATATAAATGCTGCCACTTCATGCACTAAGAAGAACCAAAATAATTAAGAAAAGAGCAAAGGAATCTAGCTACAGGACTACTTCGGCTCACGCCTTCCGAGAAATCGTATCAAAATTATTAAACGACCATCGCCCATTCATCTGATTTATAAGATTGTAACTGTTTCTCTTTTTTTAAACAATAAAAACTTAAAACTTAAAAAAATAAATTGAAAAAAGGAATAAATTAGTTAAGTTCCTGAAATCGTACTGAAATAAAAAAAAAACTTACATATATTTTTTAAACAATATAATCTAAAAATTAAAAGAATAGTAAATTAAAAAAGAAAAGATAACATAAGTTTTCTAAAAAAATTTTTCTTTTTAAAACAATCAAATTTAAGAATTAAGAAAAATCAAAAATTAAAAAAAAAATTAAATAAGTTTCCAAAAATGAAATGAAATTAAAAAAAAATATTTTTCTTTTTAAAAATAAAATAAAATAGGAAAATAAACTAAACAAAGAAATAAACAAAAATATATACATATATATGTATTTTCCTGTTTTAAAACAACAAAAACTTAAACCCCAAAGAAAATGAAATAAATAAATTAAATTGAAAAAAGTAAGTATATAAAATAAAACAAGTCTCTACAATTTGAATAAAATAAAAAAATTTTATATTTTTTTGAAACAATATTATCTACAATTTAAAAAATTAGTAAATTAAAGAAAAGAAAAAATAATATAAGTTACTAAAAATTAAATGAAATTTAAAAAAAAACTTCTTTTTAAAACAATAAAATCTAAAAATTTAAAGAAAAGTAATAAAAACCTTTTGTTTATTAAAAGTAAAAGAAAATTGAATTAAAAAAAACTAAGTTAGAAAAAGAAGAATAAGCAGACAAGTTTCTAAAAACTATTTTATTAATTGAATTTGAATTAAAAAAATATATATATTATTTTTCAAAAGAATAAATTCCAAAATTAAAAAAAAAAATTATAAAAAGAAAAAATAAGCTTCTAAAAATTCAATTAAATTAAAAAGTATTTTTCTTTTCAAAACACTAAAATCTAAGATTTAAAATAAAATTAAAAAAAAAATAAATCAATAAAAAAAAAGAAATGTGTAAAATATATTTATAAAAATGTAATGTAACTAAAAAAAAACAATTATTTTTCTATCTAAAAATAAAACCCAACTAAAATAAAATTGAATTAAAAATTAAAAAAAGAAAACAATTCCGCTGACCGAGGATTCGAACCGTGGATCTCCCGAATGGCATGCCAGCAATTTATTGGCCATGTTTTTACTTCTTGCACTAGTCATAAGCTTTGAAGGTGATCGCAATGCTAACAAAGACAATGAAGCCAAGCACTATTAAAAACTAACTAATTACAAAAAGTTTTGAGAGCGAAGCAGCCTTAAGCACAATGCAACTCTGCTACTGATTTTGGTTTTAGTTACTAATGTTTAATATAAAGCTTTACTTTAATTAAACCATATTTATACATATTTATGCTTGTCAGTGTATTAGTTAGGAAATTTACAGAAATAATCGGAAGTCATGGTAGTACAATATATGTATATTAGGGTGGTAAAATTTTTGGTATAAGGATTGTTAAAAAGTTTTTAATCGAATGCGAATATTTCTCTTCAGAAATTTTCAAGAACTAAAATTATGTTGCATATTTAATAAACGAATTAATCAAATCCGTTGAGTTGCTCGCACGAGATGCGGTTACGAACGCATAGAATAACTCATTTTTGTATGCAAAAGATAGGATTATCGGTTGTGAAAAAGTGGTTAGTAAAATTTCAAAGACAAATATCAAATTCCCGGCGTAAACATTAAATATTAACCGATTTCAAAATAAGAAAAACGCCTTTATTTTTTCCTTAATTCACAATTCTGGGGATGGCAGCAGAAAAAATACAATTTTTTGATTTTCCAGAGTATTTTTTCACCACCCTAATGCACATATATAGTATCTATATAGTTAGACACATTCTATTGTTAAAAAATATAACAAAGTTTAAAAAAAAAATTGTTTTTTTTTTTTTAATTTAAACCTACCGCATTGTGTCTCCTTCTCGGCGGCGAACGCTTATTCCATAAAGCCTCCAACTGATCGAAATGCTGTGATTGCGCCAAGGCGGCTTGTTCGGGGCCTAAATTGGTCTGCGATGTGATTGTTTTCATTTCGGCGATTTTCGAGATCTCCTCCATGCTTGCAGATACCGAGAAGCGACGTTTCAAGCGTTCATCTACTTGAGCCATCATCACAGAAGAAGTTAGATGGCCGTACTTCTTTTGCCAGGTGTAAGTGTCTAATGATACCTCCTTCTTGAGAAGACGTTTCATTTGACGTTTGGGGCCCTGCGGTCGCAAATCTGCAAGGAGAAATAGAAGAAATAAGAAATGAGATGCTAATGAGTAGCTTTTGCTTTCTTTAGCGTGCGTTAGGAGCACCACAAACCTTCTGCATCCATTGCTGGTGCTGAGTATGTGGGCAACTTGACATATTGCGCTGGCGTATTGTGCAGACAAATGACGGGCAAATTGAAGCTCTCCAATAATTGCACTAAAATGCGAGAACATTCAAGACTAATGTCAAAGCGTTGGAAGGGCACATGCATTTGGAGTGAGGTGAGCGCCAAGCCACGTTTGGTCTCCCACACGATGAGCGTCTTGTCGTCACTACCCGAAATTGCAGTAGAGCCTGAGTAAATTTAAAATTGCATTAGAAATCCACTTTTCATTCAGCATATGCAGTCACTTTTACTCACCGTCTGCTGACACCTTCACACCCAACACAGGAGCCAAGTGACCCGCCAACGTGTGTAGCTCCTCACCCGTATGTAAATCCCATATTATAAGATTGGTATCCTTCGAACCGGATATTACCTGTGTCTTGTTGGTTACCGAAACCGCCACACAATTAACTGCATCGGTGTGTCCAACCAGCACCTGCGCCAGCTTGCCACCAGTCGCCTGCCACACTTTCAGCGACATATCACGCGAGCCGGTTATTACATACAAACTGTCGGCGGTAATGGTAAAGCAGGTGATTTCGTCCGAATGTGAGACAGTATATTTTTCATCTTCGCGTGTGAGCGACCAGATCTTCAAAGTATTGTCGCCGTTCGTAGAAACCTGTGCCAGAAATAAAGAACAGCAGTAATTTGGGCGAGCATAAAAACCAAAGCGTTGTTATTGTTGCAACGAAACTCACTGCGAATTTCATGTTATTTGTTGCGGCCAAAAACTTGTATGGGCCCTGTATGGTTTGCAACAAATTCCCACCCTCAGCCAGCCACACATACATCATCGAGTCACGATCGGTTGAGATAACGCGACGCGAATCCATAAGCACTACAACGCAGCTAACTGAAGCATTGTGACCCTAAGTACGTGAAGTATATAGTATTTAGTAAGATTCAAATACATCATAATCTACTAATCTCACCTTGAACGCATTGGTCACCTCACTCAAACCCAAACTCCACACATTCACGGTTCGATCATCCGATCCAGTGGTCAGGTATTCACCGTTTGGCGCAAAATTCACACAAGTCACGGGCGCGGCGTGTCCGTCCAGCGTGGTCTGATATTCGGGCGTGTTGATCTTTACGATATGCACGCTACGACTCGAAGCGATTGCAGCCAATTGCGAATCACGTGAAATATCGAAACATGTTATCGGTGGTAGTGTTGTCGACGGGGAACGTTGCGACTGTTGTGCCCGCTTCAATGAACGTTTTCTACGTTGATTATGTGAGTAGGGGTGCACGTAGACTTCTTCGTTGCGGAAGGAATAGAAGGTAATTTTATTTCCGCCAACTGTGATGAGGAAATCATCATTATCCATCATATAGAGCGCAGTGATCGAGCCGGGGTTGGGTGGCATTGAGCGGATTAGCCGCCCCGAGTGCATGTCGTAAATGAGCGCACGTGTATCGTCGCCTCCAACAACGGCGCGTTGACTGTCCTTAGCGATGGTCATGGCATGGAGCTGGCGGAGAGATCGCAAGTTAGGATTAATGCTTTTGAGTAGAGATGGTAAGAAATTTATCTGGAGAGATCTAAGGAAATCATTAGTTTCAGATAAACTGAGCAAACCTAAAGCACAACCGATTTTCAGCAATTAAGTATGTTTAAGGACTTTTTATTAATACTTTTTGCTTTCCACGAATAGATTTTTGGTAGTATAAATCGCCGAGCTTTCACAACAAAGTCGAGGGGGTGCGAAACACGGGGAGTAAACTCGCATTACCGGGGCAGCTGAGTGATAGATATTGAAATGATTCACTTAATATCCATCCAAACAGCTTCTGAATTAAGAATTTTAGGCGGCTCACCATTAAAGAGGGCTTTGATTTGTTTTAGATCTACAGGTTTCTTAAACTCATCCTGGTCTCCCCTTTGCCAAAAATCCTTCTACCTCATTGGGGCTTTGGTTCAAATACTACATCCGCTACGACCCAGAAATGTGTCGGTTGGTATGAACTCCCCAATATCGGAGTGCTCTTCGAATATATGAGCGTCAGAAATTAGACATAAACTTATAGCGCAGCGGGACGGTTGTCTGAGCTATGACGGCGATTCTAAATAAAGTAAGTCTTTGCTCTCGTGAGTCCAAAAATGTCATACAGCACAACAGATTTGGTTATGGTTTTGTAGAGCCAATAAACTACGCGCGGCGAGAGGACTGACAGCTTACTGAGTGGAATGAAGCCTAGATAATTTAACCCAAAGATGAAAAAAGCATGATGCCTCTTTAAACAGACATAATAGCAAAGGCTTTTTATTTCCTTGTGAGACAACGAGCTCCAGTTTGTTGGCATTTACATCTAACCGGAAATTCAGGCATTCCTCTATACCCTTGAAAAGGGTGCCTAAAAACTTTACTTTAACAATAAATGCTATGCAACGATCCACAGTTTTGCTGAGTTGGATCAGGTTCAGTTACCAAATGTTACTACCCAGTTATAATGACTGAACTTTGTGAGCCAAGAATGAAAATTTTACGGATGGTGGATGAAAATCCTGGAGAGCTCCCATGAGATGGTTAAAAAGTGTGATCGCAGGGGTTAAGACTGCAGCCTTGCCAAATATGGGCAATATAGAAAGATGTTGTTAGAGGCCGTGTTTGCCGTGTTCCAAACAGCAGTGATAGTAAAGATCCAGCGCGGTATTTATAGTAGTCTCACTTTGTGAAATCCTGTCGGAAAATGTTCTTTTAATACGTCCACCAAAGTGGAGGGCTTCGGTTTCTTTGGGCTAGGGAGATCCCTTGACCGCCTTTGGTCTACCTTTGGCAAGAAAGATCTTGAGACACGAGGACTGTGTGTCTAAGGGAGTCATCGTTTAGTCAAAAAGTACTTTCAAACTCCATTTTATTGTTGACGCCAACTCGAGGTTGCCTCAATTGACTAGCTCAGCCCTAACTTAGTCTTGTGCAATGGCCTGGCGCTTGCATTTTAAAGTAAGACAAGGCAATACTTATTACAACGCCAAATAAGAAGAAAGCAATATTTAATCAAGACCAAAAGAGAGGTCAGGTATTTGCCAACAAACTTTTAACTTACTGTGAGTGACCACTTGCTTATCAGAGTAGACATTTACCTTCTTTGTCGACATCGCGCAGATTAACAGCCAATCTACTGTTTCCTTAACGTCAGCTGGCTCTGCCTGGAAGCTGCTGGAAAGAAGAAATCGGCCAAAGGTCATAGTGCCCAAAATCAAGATGATATGGAAGCCTAACCTTAAGGTTAATGAAGAGTTCCTTGTAAAAGACTCCTCCACCGATACTTCCACCAAGCTTCGACCCACTCGTGTAACAGTTCACCGGTGTCTCTTTTGAACCACTTCCTACCGCCCACTCATTGTAGAGGGAAGACGAGTGAAGAAAGACCTAATTGTTGCCAGTCTAGCCACGTATGAAGTTATCCGTGTTATTAGAGATAAATTGGAGATCTTAAAGAATATTAGACTTTAACGCTTTCTTGCAGCAGATTTTTTTTTACTATATCGGCGCTGGCACTAAGTGTCCCACTGATTTCAATGAGAACCCTCTGTCATAGCTATTATTTTCTAGTGCATTCCATGGACATTAAGTGAGTCATTATGGTTGCAAGTAGCCAGAAAATTACCTGAGGTGAGAGGCCCAATTGCTCCCTGCAAGTGTAGATAGCCGCTATGCTTTCTTCACTAGCTCCTCATTGTTATGCTTCCATGAAAGCTAATTGGATAGAACCAAGCCCACGTACTAGACTTTCATTGAAAAGCACCAGGAGAATGCCCATATTCTACTCCCTAGTGAGAAAGGCGAGTTCCGTCCTCATAGGATTTGTGGATTATCTCTGCTCATTCCTTCATGGGTTGAATAGCTAACCAACTGTGTCCCTACAGTTCTGCCAGTGAGCAAATGAATCCTGACCAGATTGGCTTCGAAATCCACCTTACCTAGGAACCCAAAAAATTTCGTTTCTAGAGGGAAACACAAATAATCTCGAAAGGATCTTCTAAATAAATGAAGAGAGACTGATTGGTCTTAAAATCCTAGGTGATATATAGTTTAAAGCTAGGTTAATCTGGCCGGCGTTGGGCCACACATAGACCGATAGGTCCCTAGTGCTCTCAGTTGTAGTCCGACTTTAAGTGTTAAAGTATACATCACAAAAGATGTTAGCGCTTTTTGCGAATTTCAGTAGTTAGTTAAACTCTACGTTTGAGATTTATAGGCCCCTAGGTATTTTTGGCTTGTTTTTGACAAGGCGGCTCATCAGCAGAGACGATTTTCTAAGGTTTCCCTGGTCTCCCGCTCACGATACTTCTGGCCCCCGTTCATTTTAGCGATATCCATTCTTTACCACCCGGACATGCCTAGTTAAAAACCGGTAACAACTCTGCAATCCTTCCTTGGTAGCTTTTGCTGTTTTCGCAAATAATTTTTGCAGTTTCGCAGGTGGTTAAGTTATTTCATCTAGCCCTGAATTGTCCGTTCGAGACTCATAATGATAGCGTTATCGGAATCCCCATCTGTTATTTCATTATACTCTATTCCTTTGTGGTTGGGTTCCCTTTAGATATGCAGCTTTCAGTTTGCGGCCTGGCAGTAAATGGCTTTCCCGCTGCGAAGGACGTTTTAGATAAAATACTGCCTGAGGTACTTAACTGCCTTAATTGCCGCCTGACTGTCTATGTACGTATAAGTTTATTTTTGATTTGATTTTCATTTCCCTTTATGTCAGATCTGCTGCTATCCTGATAGCAAACCTCTGCTTGAAATATGCTGCAGTGGACAGGTAACAAGCCCGCCTAACGTTCAGTTCCCTACAGTATATTTCATCACCCAATCCCATTAGCATTTTAGAGCCGTCCGTGAAAATATTTAGGCATTACGGCTTGGTGTCATTCCTTTGCCCCATTACTGTTACGCAATCGTTATACGCAACCTTCGTCCCCAAATAAAGCAGGGTTCGATACAATTTGTGCTGCCTCTGCTTCTCGCCCCAATTTACCTGTGCCCAAGGGATTTGTAAATGAATTCCCCTATGGCCGTCAGTCTATGCAATGTAAATATAGTTTTCTTGTCGGATATGTCCTTTGATACTAACTACATATAGGTATATATGTATTTAATGTAGTGTGCAAAAAAAACCACATATTAATGAATGTTTCAGCTCAATTCTATTCACCTTACACGCTTTTTATTTTCCTTCCAAGTAATTGAATCATTTCTAAAGATTTTCATTCCCTTTCTTAAAGTTCAACTTTTATTTGTAGTTTTTGTATATTTTTATCTTACCTGCGACTTGTGTCCTTTGAGCGCATGCAATTCCTTGCCTGTGGCCAATGTGCGCACATAAAGGACATTATCTTCACAGTGCGCCAGAAGAAAGACCTAAAAAAAGGGAGAATAAAATTGTAAATTAAGAAAGTAAGTAGCAGACAATGGTTGAGGTTGCCATGAAAGCGAGGTGGTAATGTCATTGTAGTTTAAAGATCAGCGTAAAATTGGCAAATTTAATTAAGAAACACCAGATAACACTGCGGTCTGTTGGAAAAAGTGTGGAAAAGTCTTAATATTGCCACACGGTGGGCGAATGATAAAATTTACAATATTAAGTAGTGAGCCGTAAAACTGCAGCCTTTTATGTGCGACTTTATATGGCATGTTTGTAGTCTACATATGTATGTATGCATGTACTATCTATATAAAAAATTGCAATTTTCAGGCCGTAAAAAGAAAATTTTTTAGTACGGGGGGAAAAGACACATTTTCGATGAATGGATGATTGTAATAAAAATAATAATTTGCAAAGTAGAAATGAGTGGCAGGGCATCTAGACCAACTGAGTATGCAGATGTCCTTAACGTCATTATCTACGGGATATGTCTAATGTTATTGTGCGTCTTTTGATAGATCGCGAATAAGCTTGGCTCTGCATTTTTCTCCTCACTGAAGGATATTGCATACCATAAATTTTTTAAGCTCTAATTTTATCGATTAACCAAATTTAACTAACCCAATAAATAAAAAAGATTTTATATAAAGAAAATATTTAAAAAACGTGTAATGTTGAAAATAGTAAGCCAGGTTATACAACGTCTTACTATACATTATAAAACATTCGCTATTTATTTCAGATATTTCTTAAAATCAGTGCCAAGCAGCCAGTAGTTACACGAAGCTATGTGTGCCTGTGTATTTTGCCTGGCACTGCTTTAAACCCATAATAAGATAGTATACGCCAATGTGAGATATAATATGAAAAGCAAACCGGATTATAACTCTGAAATTGAAATGAAGCAAATGAAATTTTTATTGCCTCTGTACGCTTATTTTACAGCCAATTTTTACCTTACACTTGGGTTTGTGGCCTTATGTTAGTTGGTCAAAGAATTCTGTAGATATGCCGGTTGATGGCAAATGAAATTGTAGAAAATGCCAAGTGTCAAAAACACATACACATCGACACCTATATATGCATGTACATACATATGTATACGAAAGCAGGATAAACCAATAAAACTGGAGACTAAAGTAGATGTTTTGCGAAATTCCGGCCATCGTTGAATGTGGCTAACAACATTGCCACTATGCTAGCGCCATGTAAACAATCTATTTCCGGTATATGTACTAAATCGAAATGGGAGGGCAGTGAAAAAGTATTGTGAAGCAATGGAAAAAAGATAAACCATGATTTTCACAACTTAACTGACCTGGTCCGGAAGCAATATTGGCCAACTGGCCTTTTGATAAATGTCCACTCTAGCTGTTCACTACATACATATGTATACAGACGTGCTGATTTATCACAGGGCAATATAGCTACATACATACACACATAAATAAATATAAACGCAACAGACCGGTAGGTTGGTATGGGCACTTGATTTTATGCATTGAAGCTGCGCCCAAAAAGATATACATACTTACACACATAGCCGCTCATCCGGGATATTCACCAACTGATTAACAGCTACGAATGGGACATTTATCATTTGTCAATTTCAGTTTGTTGAGTAAATAGCTAAACTGATTTTGCTAACTATTTCATTTGCAGCAGTGTGTATTTCTTAACATAAGTATTTGGAGCTCCTAGTCGTATTTTTTTTGCCAGGAGGAGGCACCGAAAGCTTGTACCCGGCAGTGTTATCGTATTGAGGTGACGTACATATGTATATTTGTATTAAGTGTAATTGATTTCTGACAACTTAATGTATGAGTACGTTATCACAAACTATCATGTTACGAAAAGAGAGAAGAATGATGACATAATACAGTTGTAAGGATATAAAAATTATAGAATATACACAGTAAGAATACCAGACGCTAGCAACAAGGCGTCCACAAAGTCGCCCAATGTGATGACAGAGCAGGCTGGTATGCATTTGGTATGGGTGCAGGACATTGTAACCCTATTTTAATCGATTTGCAAGAGGTTAGCCATACTACTTGTTACCTGCAAGCTCCTCATTAGAGAGCTACTGTTAAAAGAAGCGCGTAAAAGAATTGGACATACGATAGTTCCTGCAACACAGCCAAGCTCATGTGGAACGTAAGGAAATCGCAAATATTTCTAACCTTCTTTAAAACGCTTAGAAATGCGCCACAATGGCTTATGTTAAGCTAGCTTGATGAAGAAACTGCCATATAAAAAAATCAACGCGTTTTTTTAGCAAATTAAAATTTGCACTTTAGTGTAATAAGTAAAATTCAATGGGCTACAAAACTGCACATCCGAAATCTTTATAGACATTTTTTTAAGTATAAAAGGACCATACTTTGAGAGATTTTTCGAAAATTTAGAGCTCTTGACATTATAGCTTCAAAACCAGGGCCAGGGAAACTAAGCCGTTGTATTACCAATGAACGAGCGCGAAACAAAGTACCTGCTGCCATCACATAAAATAATCTTCATATATCGGTTCCATTTTTCATATATGTACATATTCGATCTTTTAAAAGTTTTTTTTAGTAATCAGCATATGGGGCGTGTGTGATGAAATTTGAACTTGATTAATACATTTTTAAAAAGTATGCAGCACAAAAACAAAAACAAATCGATTTAGTAGTTTTCCAAATATCTTGAGAGCGGGGCGAGAAAAAGCATGAAAAAAATCACACAGATACACATTAAAATTCTCTATGAAAAGAAATATTAAAAAAATTTTTTTCTCGAAAAATTTTTCACAGACAAATTTTTTTGATAAAATAAATATTTTTGAAAATATGCCATCTCAAAAAAAAAATTGAAAAAAATCACAATGTAGCTCTGAGTATTGCGCAATATTTAAGTATACTATTATGGGGAGCCCTCTACAATAATTTGAGTTATGAATTTTTTTTTTACACCGAAGTTGAGTAAAATGAGTACATTATATATTTACAAATATTTTAATTTCTTTAGAGTTCTTTTGAGTATGCAGTTTTGTAGCCCATTAAAGTTTTGTGTAATAAAGTGCAAGTTTTAAGTGATTGCAAAAAAAGTTCAAAAGTTGCCGTAGCTTAATTTATTATATTAAAATTTAATGGACTACAAACTGAATACTCAAAAAAAAATTCTAAAAAGATTGAAAATTTTGTAAAAATTCATAACTCAAATTATTGTAGAATGCACTCCATAATACTATACTTAAATATTGCGCAATACTCAGAGCTATCATTGTGATTTAAAAAAAAAATTTATTGAGATGGCACATTTTCAAAAACTATTTTTTTTTATAAAAAAATGTGTATGTGAAAAATTTTTCAAGAAAATTTGTTTCAAAATATTTCTTTTCATAGAGAATTTTGATGTGGGTATGTGTAATTTTTTTCAAATTTTTTCTCGCTCCGTTCGCGAGATATTTGGAAAATTATTAAATCGATTTGTTTTTGTTTTTGTGCTGTAAAGTTTTTAAAAATGTATTAATCAAGTTCAAATTTCATATTTATTTATTATTTATGTTTATCCATCAACCCTAAAAATTTGCAACAAATCAAACACATGAAGTGTGAACGCCGTCCGTTTTGGTGTGGAACACCCCACATACATCAATTATATAGTCTGCATGGAGACAATGTGAGGGTTATATATGTTGGCAATTGAGAAGCAGAGTCCTCCTAGTGGAAAATTGGAAAATGTTGAGAAAATACTTTTCTACAACAAATGCAGGGGCCCTAAAGTGGAAATGGATTTCGGAGGAACTGTCTCTACTTGGAACCAATATGCGGAAGTTTTGCTGTCTCAGCTTAAGCGGGGATAACACGATTTGTAAATTTGTATAGATTTGTACATTTTTTCATTACAGAGTGGTGTTGTGCGGAAAGTTGCTATTGAGCTGAACTCATTATTTCCAGAAAACACCACTCTGCGACTGCCATAGGTTTATTATACCCATACGCCATGTTGTCCATAAACTGAAGCACATCTTTGATTGTAATCACTGTGCGACCGTTTTATGGCAATTAAGTCCAAATGTTGGAAATATTTTTTGAAAGTATGCAAATCCTGTAATAAAACACACGATGGATTTGCAAAACTGAGCTCGTATTTTTATTTTATGGCCTACTAAAGTTTTCATCCTCCGGCTCAAGTAATTTAAAAAAAAGAGGAAAAAATGGATAAAATAAATGTTTGAGCGAAATTAAAGCATAAGACGTATATAGTAAAATTTTATGGGAAATATTTTTGAAAATCATGTTAATCCATTAGCTCCCACCTGAAAGGGTCGTTTTAACCTTTAATTCAAGGAATCCCTCAAAATGAAAATTTTATACTTCAGAAAATTTTGTTTGCGGTCTTCTCAGCCAAAAACTTCATGCCCTGAAGTAAAAGTCACTAAACATTAAGTAAAAAAATCTATGCGAAGAAGGATTAAAGAACAAAACCCCATTTTAACAAATTTTTTTGAAATACTTAGGCCGGGACAACAAAACTTTAGTACAAACAGTAAACAGTAGTAAACAGTGTTATATACAGATTTAAATAAAAACCTGCTTTCATGCCACAATAATAATAATTGCAATAAAATCAAATGATTAAGCTACTTACCGAGTCACATGAAATGTCAATTCGACGCACGGGACTACACATATGCATGCTGTTCAATAGTCTATAATCATCCAGAGACCACAAATAGATTATTTTATCTCGACTCGAGGAGATCAGTACATCACAGGCGTTGCTGACTTTAACAGTTGTCACCGCAGCGCGATGTTGTGTAATTCTGTGTAACTGCGCAGCAGAGAGGTTAAAGAAAAATATACAGTTAAGTTTGTAAATAAATATGCAATAGGAACAAATGGGTAGGAAAAAAAAATTATTTTTACCATTTTACTTAGTTATAATCAAATTTTATATGTACTTTTTCTTTGTGAATTATATTTTTAGCGTCATATTTTTGTTTTGTACCTCCAGCACCTACTACATAAACTTCAAGTTTGTGCTTTGTCCATTAACATCAGCACGCCATATCCGTGCCATTGAAAGGCAAAAAAATAAAAAATAGCTGTCGTGTGCAGTTAGTGCTGCTGTTTTCGAGAATGTCATAAATGTACAAATAAAATTTATTACACTTCAGGACAATAACAGCACGTCAGTTACGTAAGGACTTCAGCGTTGAATATGTTTGCCAGTATCTAAATATTTATGTATGTATGTGTATCTGTAAACATATGTACATGTCAGAATAGTGAAAAAACGTGAATATGCATTTGATTTATATTCCTTCATTTCTAACATATATGTAAAAACACACATACATATGTATATATGCAAAAAGTCCATTAGAAATACATTTTAAAATTCTCAACACAAAAAATATGAGGAATTGTTCATCTATAATTTGATCGAATCCAAAACAAAAATGCATCAAAATGTGCATCACCGAATATTACTCAATGTAAAGCCAAAATATGGCTGCGCTCTATTTGAACCGCTGAACTTTTCTCGAGGTTATGTCAAACATGCGCTCCACATAGGGTCCACACTCATCGAAAATACGAGTATAATTTAAAATTGAGTTGTGTACATGGGATGTTTCACAGTCAACTATCTAAATGATGTTGTATTTAAGAATTAGAATCGGTTTTTTTAGAGGATGCTAGTGCCACTAAGAAAAAAATTCAATGGTGTTTTTTATGGAAAATTTGAAAAGAAAAGACAAGTTCAACGTTCATGTTTTATAAAGCATTTCGAGTTTTATTTATAAAAAAAAAAACGATTTTTAGGTGTTTTAAAATTGGTCCAGCTCATGTAAATTTTATTATTTTTGCGAATTATTTTATCGAAAGTCTTGAAGTATATTAAATTTTATAACTAAGACGGAAAATTGCCATTGTTTTTTTCTTTTGTATCGCTAGTGGTGCACTCTAATGTACATAGTTTAATTTGCCACCACCGCCATTCTGATTCACATTTAAACTTACCAACTGTCCACTATGTATATCTGAGATGGCAATTGTCGAGTCCTCACTGCCACTAATGGCCAAAGTATTATTGACACCAGCTGCGACACTCGCCACAATTCCCGTATGTGACCTAAAAGGTGAAAAGAAATCAAAGTACACAAATAAAGGAATGATTAGAGAAAGAGAAGCACAATTGAATGACAACTCTCAACATACAACATCAATTTGCCCCGAGATTGACACAACTTACGAAATTAAATCGCAAAATAATTTGGAGGTGAAATTATATGACAAGCACTGTGGATGGGCGCACTTCAACAAAAGCTCATATATGTATGTGTGTACTCACTTGATATGCGTCTTCAGCACACGCGTTGTCACGTTCCACACCAATACGGTGTGGTCCTCGGAGCCAGTCAGCAAAATATCAGATTGTGGTGCGACCAACAGACACGTGACTGCGGCAGTGTGGCCTACAAACAAAAGGGGGGCAAAATGACATGAAAAGTAATTTACACAAAATGCTTTTTGCTTGTTGGCTGGTTACGAGTAAACAACCAGGAAAATCGAGTGGAAATCAATTCAGCTGACAATTAAATTGTAATAGGTGCGTGTTTGGCTGCAGTTAAGTGGTTACACTTAGGTGCTATGTAATTGTGCAGAGTTATTCGCAGTTATAGCATTCGCTTCCACTCCTGATGCAGTTATATAAAGTGCACACACTCATACAAGCACACATACATATGTATGTACATACATACCTTTGAAAATGTGCTCCAATGAGTTGCTCATTATGTGCCACAATTGCACATCACCCGACTTGGTTGCCAAGATGAGATGCTGCTTAGTTGGCGACACACAAACATCACGCACTTGTCCAGTGCCCGTCACTGTCATTACGCGTATCTGCGAGGGCAGCGTAGCAGGTAACCAGCCCGTAAGTGGCACTAGTAATGGCACTGTATAGCCATCACACCAGGCGGTCGCTGAGCGCACCGTTATGCTCAGTAATGAGTTGTCGTTCTCGTCGTGTTCGCTGATTGGACGTAGCCAGGAGATGAGCTGGTAAAAAGGAAGGAATGAATAAACAAAATATTGTGATTTCAATAGCGATAGCTATCACTGCTGTCATTGTGATGTACTCGTACATATAAATGAATGCTTTAAGTAGAACTTTCTTATGTACTTAGTTACAAACCTGTGAGCCAAGCTGCATGGGATCACGTGTGAGTACATCACTTGACTTGCGTATTGTATAGTAGATAAGTTCGATATCCCGATCTAGCAAGTAACAGCGCACATGCTCGATGAGGCAACGCAAATAACTAATTGAGACTGTTTGGACCTGTAAAAGAATAAGACATTTCATTGTACTAAATGAGGGTTTACATTTATCTGGAAGTACAGATAATTTACATGAAAATTACAAAATATAAACCAGCCAGCAGTTGTGGTATTAACCAAATAATAAATGTACCTAATATAAAGATTATCTTAGGATTTAGAAATTTATGGCATGTATATTATGAAAACGGCACTTACGGAAGTAGTATGGGTAACTTTTCGACGGAATATAGCCATTAAATAGCCGTAGTTTTTTAATTTTTACTTTTTTCATAAAAAATAATCCCAATTTTAAATTTTACTTTATTCGATCATAGGCCGTTAAAATGGATACTGCGTTTTAAATATATGTACGTTGATTGAAAATGCCGAAGGGGGTACACTTCGTACCTACTAGGTTATGCGGCCTACCACAAATCCTCTTATATAATCTTGCTGTGCCTTTACCATAGACCTCCACACCAAATTTCAAAGTCATGTGACTTAAATATGGTTCCGAAATAATAGCTGATTAAATTCACGCCTGGTAAATGGTATGTTCGAAACCGTAGCATTTACTGGTGCAAAATGCAATAATTGCCCATTGATATGAATAATAGACCTTTATATACTAAATAAATTGCTTAATTGGGCTTTTTATTCTTAATATAGAGTTACTCTAAAGATTTTCTTCAGGGGATTTTCTTGGATTTATAGGCGCTTTATGATAATTTTTTTTTTTATGATTTCGTCACAACTATTCGCAACGCTGAGAAAAGTAAACCTAATTTTGGGTCGTAGATTGCGGATCTGTAGACCATTTTTCTAGATCAGGTATTTTTTTTTAATACATTTTCATTTTAATTTGCATTGCGAATGAAAAAAATTCAAACATTGACATGGATAATGCTGCTCATACGCCGTGTACGAGTATGTCCGTGTACGGCTATGTACGATATGGCGTATGTGTAACATTATTTCCTACTCCTGTTTTATACAAAAAGCTATTGAAAATTTTCACTCGACCATTCGTAACTTGTTAACTAATCCTTAGATTTTCACCGTTCATGATTTTTTGGAAAAAGAAAAGGCTTTAATACGAATAAAAAAAACTACAAAAGATTTGTTATTTTTTTTATTTTATTTATTATTATTACTGAAAATTTTTTCAGAAAACTGAAAATATCTTGACCTGTTACGGAAAACGGTATACAGACCCATAATCTACGACCCAATATTCAGTTCACGCGTTTCGCTTTTTTGTCATTTAAATATTATTCTTGGGTAAATAATGCTTCTTTTTAATTAGTTCATATAAAAGCTACATTTAACATACGTACATACATACATATGTTACATGCTGAAATTTGACACAATACCGTACTCACGGCGAAAAGTGGCAGGAATCGGAAAAGGGGGCGTGGCCCCTCCCAAAAGTATTTACAGTCTGAATTGGTATATGTTTAACATATTAGTCAGTGAGAAACCGTTAGAAATCTCATCTATACATACAAATACTAATGTATATTTTTTATAAATGAAAATTGAGGTTCCTTTCTCAGTCTAATTTCGAAAGCTACTGCAGAAATTTTGGTGGTGGACTTCAAAATTGTCATTTGCACAAAGGAGTCAATATTGGTGACAAGCAAAATTCAAAAGTGTATAAAACAAGTAAGAAAGCCTAAGTTCGGGCAGAGCCGAACATTAAATACCCGGCGCACGTATTAAATATATGTTTTTCGCCTTACCGAAAGCTACGGCTATATGGTAAGCCGGGGCGTATCAATTTTGAGTAAATTAGAGTCCTTAGATTTCGAAATTTTGAAGTTTCAAGCAGTTCTGAAATTTACCGTTATATGAGAAGCGACCGTTATTTTAGTCCGATTTCAATAATTTTCAACGGTTTGCTTATATGTGGCAAGCACAATAACCACACCGAGTTTGGTACAAATTGGTAGAACGGTTACTGAGATACATATATGTGATCATAAGTGGGCGGTGCCACGCCCATTTTCCAAAAATTTATCACAAACGTATTTCTTGGTAAAGAATTGTTGCAAGCATCAATTTTGAATAAATTAGCTTCAATATTTACTGATTTATCGAAGATTTTGTATTTCTCTAAATTACCGTTATATGGGATGTGGGCGTGGTTATCGTCCGATTTTAAAAATTTTAGGCGATTTTGTATGCTGTACCAGGGCCGACAACTGTGCCAAGTTTGGTAGAAATTGGTACAGCGGTTACCAAGATATACACATGTAACCATAAGTGGGCGTGGCTACGCCCATTTTCCAAAAATGTATAATATTATTATTTTTTGCCAAAAAATTATTGTAAATACTAATTTTGAGTGATTTATCTTCAGTAGTTACTAAAATATCGCAGTTTTCGTATTTCTGGAAATTACCGTTATATGGGAAGTGGGCGTGGTTACAGTCCGATTTCGCCCATTTTCAATAGCAACCTACCTTGGATTAAGGGAAGCCAACATACCAAATTTCGTTGAGATATCTCAATTTTTGCTCGAGTTATCGTGTACACGGACAGACGGACAGACGGACAGACGGACGGACAGACAGACATGGCTTAATCGATTTCTTTTTTTATCCTGATCATTTATGTATACATTTGTCTATATCTATCTCGATTCGTTTTGGCTGTTACAAACAACCGTTATGTGAACAAAATTAATATACCCTTGTGCACAAGTGCGCTCGGGTATAAAAAGGATGTCGAATTTCGACAACTGGGCGATACTCGTACATATAATCCGACGTTTATTATAGCAGACTAAGAAGCCATTTTACAAAGAGAAAATATATTCACCACATGATGGTAAATTTCTGCAATGCAAAAATGTGTTGAGAAGAAGTGCAGCATGTGGTCTTGAACCTGACTTGCCATGGCAAATGCAAGTGAAAAGAGCAAATATAGAATGTGCATTCACAGGTAGCTAAGTACATACTGAATACACTTGTATGTAGTTACAACTGCTTAAAAAATAAGGTTGCACAGCGCTTACTTTTTTTCTGAAGGTACCATTTAGATGTGAAAAAATTGTATGAAAATATGTACTTAGGTACACATGTAGGTAGAAGTTGACGATAAAAATGAAAGCAGTAATCTTTTGACCTCAGGAAATAATGTGCATGAGTGATGCATGGAAAAAGAATAGATAGGCAAAAGTATACTGCACATACATACATACATACATATTTGCATATAAAAAGTAAAATACATGCACTTGTATATAATTTACATAATTGGTACGTACGGAAAGTTTCTTCGACAGATATCATTATCGAAATTTTTGCTCAAATTACCACCGCTTCGTTATCGATAAATTAACTGCCGCTGCCATTAAGGATAAAGCATCCACATCATTGTCGAAATGCATATACACATATGTATGTGTGTATGTTATTGAAATTATAATTTTTAGAGGTATTATCGATAAAACTGTTGACACAATTAACGATTATATTATTAATATCGATGCAAGTACCGATAAAATATCGATATATTGGTAGATAAACACAGGTACTTTACTAAAAAAAAAAATCATCGTTGAAGATACTGACGATATAACTGTTGATATAATCATCGATTAATTGAACTATCGACGCAATTAACAATGAAACATCCAAGTAATTTTGGATATTTTGTAAAAATTTAAATCATTTGAAATATTATCGATAAATCCGTAATACAGTTATCGAGTAACTGAACTATTATCGATAAAACATCGATATTGTTGTTAGCTACCATTTTATGTATGTAAATATATTTCTTCGAATTAATCATTAATATATTATCGATAAAACTGTTGATACAATCATCGATTATTAAAACTATTGATGCAATTAGCGATAAAAAGCCGATGTTATTGTTGATATATGTACGCACATATTTTGTAGAAATTACCATTGTTTAAGTATTATCGATAGTTAAAGATGACATCAGCGGTAAAAGTTCGATAGTATTATCTATGATATTAATATACGTGTACACCAAAGTTAAAACTGTTATATTTATCGATAAGTCAATGTGCCTACATAAAGAGTTATTGATAGATTTTAATCATATACATATTTATCGTAAGTGTATTTTTTTTTTTAAATGATTATAATTCGATATGAGTATCCCTTGTGTTACTCCTTCGTTTCTCTACTTTTTAACCGAGTTCAAAAAAAAGAAGACTGCATAACTTTGGTTCACGTCAAACGATTTCGATAATTCATTCTCAATGTCTTCGAAGTGATCCCATACTAATTTGGTTTAGATCCGATTATTGAATCATGAAGAAATTAACGGCACTCATAAATTTTTATATGAAAATTGAAGTCGGATTTGTTTTTCGCTTAAAAATTACATGTAACTTCTCGTTTCGATATATGGGCGGATGAAAAATTTTCGGCTGATTTTTTTTTTCAGGCGAAACTCAGGATAAGGGAGACTTTATAGAAACAGATTTAGTGAATATTATTTTCAAAGTTGCAAGTATTTTTTAACATCCTAATTTATCTTCAACAATAAAAAAACACAAACATGTCCTTTTCTTTTCTACAGAAAAATGTTGCCTTCTCAGTGCCCTCTACGCACAAATACTAAAGTGCACTCCCTTTAGAAAAGGCAACAGTTTGTTTTAGAAAAGAAAAACGCCATTCATCTGCCAGGTTGTTTAAATCAAGCACCGAATAATTAATCCTTAAAAGTGTATTAGGATTACGAGTACTTTTTATACAGACAAAAAAAAAAAAATACGATCGCGGCATGTTAAGATATGATTCTTAACAGTTACAACGAAAATGAAAAAAAAAGTTTTAAGCAATAGATAGGAAAAAGAAGTAGCCCTTTAATTTATTCACAATTTAACTATACTTTATAAGCAATTTTGAGAAACAGAAGGCACGAATTCAATCAGCTCCTAAGTGGTTCACGTTTTACGGAAAAAAATGCAGCCTTTCTGCTGCATTATCTTCATCGTTTCTATGGAGAATAGCACTGCCAACTTGACTA